TATACGTTCTACATGTAACTGGATAAAACTATATTCTCAAGTAAGATTTCAAAATGTAGCTTATCTGCAGGCTGAATGATTGTTTTTTTTCCAGAACCAGAACCTCCAAAAGACAATGCCCAAACAGAGGTCCTACATAAGCTGGGTCTGGATGCCTTCTGGACTGTTCCATTGGACCCAGCGTCTATGTTGGGCATCAGCACTTGGACTCTGGAGAACCAAGCCCCTCTAGAGCCAAATGATCTACCAATTGCTTTCCTCCAACATCTTTGGTTGCTTAGCCCAGACACCAGAAGTCCTTGCTGCAAACCTCTGGATGATGCTCTGAACAACAGCGCCCATTCACCCGAGGAGACAATCAGTGGTTTTGGAGAAGACAGCCACAGTGCCATCAACCCCCTTGATCTAGTTACCGCTGTCTTTATGTTTGCCAACACTTTCCTTCAGCAGGAGATGGCTGTGCGCATGTTGCAATGCCAGTTTGCTGTGCCCCTGGTCCTTCCAAACATGGATCCAGAAGAATCTAGTCGCTTCCTTCTTTGGCCTTTGAGAGGTGCTGTGAGCCAGTGGAGGTCTCACTTTCCAGATAATGACAAGAAGATCTATGAGGGGGATTTGGCAAGTACATACATGCCAGTTGTTTCATGTGTGAAGCTTGGTCACATCGGTGTCTCTAAGTCACAGGTGCTAAACAATGTTATGAGTGGACTTAGATCTTCCAGTGACACATTTCTCCACAGGGGAATGGATGGAGGACAACTGCCCCGCAGGCTCTCTAATGGCCTGGTAGAGATTGGATGGTATCTACCCACTGGAGACACTGCCAGTGATGTTTTCCCTGTCCCTATGGTCATCTCTAATCTAAGAGGGGATGCTAGTGCACATGAGAAGTACCTCAGCCTCCTATGTCAAGCATCTTCAGCTGTGGTTGTTTTCTGTGGGAATCTTAGGGAGAAAGACAAACAACTTCTTGCTTACTGCAATGACATGGCAAACAAGCTCATACTGATTGACCTATCAGATAATGAGAACAATAAGGACAGAGTTGTGGGGTTTGTTGATCAGAACCTTCAAGAATACATGGGGCTTCCTGGACAAATAGTGCTGCAAGGGCAAGATCTGAGTGAGGAGGAACTGGCTAATAGGCTGCGTGACACTCTGAAAGATCTTTTACCAAATGAGCTACAACCTGTTACACTTGAGGCAGCAGCAAAATTAGCAGAGAAGCTAGGATTTAATGTAGATGAAGGACCAGTCTGTAAAAGGGCAATGGCAACAGTGGAGGAAGTATTGAGAGGTTTAGATGAGGGATCTGCTCAATTTAAGGAGAAACAGCTTCCTTTACAGGGGCTTTTGTGGAGCAAACTTGCTGAGCTAGAAAAGAAGGAGAGTAGATAGGAAAAAGAAGGTAAAAAAAGGGATCCCCAACTGAAAAAAGAAAAGAAAGACATCTTGGCAGAGTTGAGAAGCTACAAAATGACCCCAGCAATGAAGACTTTCACCAATGCTCTTTCTACAACAGATAAAGTGGAGAGGGCTTATTTTCTCACTTGGATGAAGCTAATGCTCCGGCTGAAACAAACTGAAAAACGAAACAGCCCACAAGATCTATTCACAAACCTGCAAACAGAAATGAAAAATAACATGTCAGAACATTGTCATGAGCTACAAAATGGAGTCAATAACACTCTAAGGGACAGTCATAGATCAACATTTGAAGAAAAAACAGCTGAAAAGCAGGACGTTTCTGAGCAACATTCTGAGAAAGGCCAAGAATCAGAGCATATTCTGCAGGTGTCTACAGAAAATGGAGTCAGTAACACTCTAGGGGACAGTGAGAGTTTCTGCACAGATTCAATATTTGAAGAAGAAACAATTGAAGAGGAGGAACTTTCTGAGCAACATTTTGAGGGGAGGAGAGGCCAAGATTTAGAACATACTCTGCAGGAGTCAGCTCCAGTCTTTGAGGACCAAAATCATCATTTGGAGTTTGAAGAGGATGAAACCTCTAGCTGCCAATCCAAACAGCTAGATGAACCAGTGCTGACACCAGCTAAGACAGATCTGACTTCCTCTGCCCACAAACAAATATGTCTAGATGTCGATGAACGAGCGCTGACACCAGTTGAGTCAGATCTGACTTCTTCTGCCCAACAACAAATGTGTCTAGATGTAGATGAACCAGTGCTGACACCAGTTGAGTCAGATCTGACTTCTTCTGCTCAACAACAAATATGTCTAGATGTAGATGAACCAGTGCTGACACCAGTTGAATCAGATCTGACTTCTTCTGCCCAACAACAAATATGTCTAGATGTAGATGAACCAGGGCTGACACCAGCTAAGTCAGATTTGACTTCTTGTGCCCAACAAATGTGTCTAGATGTTTCCTTTGAACATCCGGAGGTCTCATGTTCAAAGCCTTTTGAACCTGATTCATCCTCACTGGGACTTGAGCACTTTTTGCGAGAGATGGGCTTAATTTTTGAGCTAACCCACATCAGCCCCGGGAGTGGAAACCACAATGTGTTGCGTCTGCCTGGCTTAGCTACAGACCTTCTTTTACATGGAATTCCACTTGAACTAATGGATGGAGATGCCTCAAACATCCCGATGTGCTGGGTGGGCTGTGTCTTTGCAGAGCTCAACCGCTGCCTACCTCAAGAACAGCGCAGGATCCGAGTGCTGACAAACCTTGGAGAACATCACAGTAGGAACAGTGAGCTTTTTTCTGCTTTATTTGGGGTTAAATTTCCTGAAGGAAGGAAAAGAGCCACCAGAGGGGTATACATGGTCCCCCTGTCTCTCCCTGATAACCTCAGAAAAGACATGGCGTGTGATTTTCTGCTGTTAATTGATGTAGAAGGTCTCTGCGCAGTGTCTCAAGACAGCAAAAGAAATATGCTGATTCACGACAGCGCGATGGCCACTGTTGCAACAGGATTGAGTGATGTTTTAATGCAGAACATCTCTTCACATACTGGCACTGAGTTTGAAACCCATCTCGCTGTCATAGCCAGTGCTCTTCTTCGCATCAAAGAATGTGGCTCCATGCCCATTTGCCAACTCGTGGCCCAGGATGAAGGAATAAACAGCTTATTACAAGCTGCACAATTACAGCGTGTATCTGATATGCTTCAGGACAAGACTAGGGACAGAGGAACCAACAATGCTGATAACCATTATGCAAAGGCCACAACCTGCATCCCATGTGTCAAAGGGCCTTGGAACAACATGTCCCTCTCTGAACCAGTTGATAACCAATATAGTAAGGCTCTGTTAAAGCTCAAGCAAAATCTGTTTGGGGCATTAAAGCAGTGTCCAGCTAACTCTAAAGCCACATGTCTGCCTGAATTTATGAGCCGTTTGTCTGCTGTTTGGGATGCAGTGAAAGCAGAATCATTCTCCATTGGTCTGCAAAATACCGACATAGCTTTAGCATTCTCTTTATTGTGCACAGAGCTTTCCCATTGGGAGCATAGATTCCTGGAACACATCGAAAGCTGGTTTAAGGAGGCAACAAAGAAAATCTCTGCTACAAAGGCAAAAACTTTAGATGCTGTGATCCAAAATGGTGTTCTGAGCGAGCTGAGGAATGAAGCCAGAAAGGAAGTCAAAACAGAAGTGGACACACTCAGGTCAAAAGTAGAGACCTATCTGATGAAATACAACCTCCTCAAAAGGAACACATTCAGTCCAATCCTAATGAGCAATATGGATGACCTCCAGGAGCGAGTAACTGAAGAGATTATACAAAGGTTAGGGACATTCAGCGAGAGCCACTGTTATTCAACACAGTTGGAAAAATTTGACACCTTAATGAAAAAGGAACAGGAATCCCAGTTACAGGCACTGATAGAAAACAGCAAGCTAACCAAAGTGTTCGTTCAAGATACAGAACTAGAAGAGGTGTTTGAGAGTATGTGGAGTAAGCTGTCGTTGAACTTTGACTTCAGGCCTTCAGAAAAAGATGATATCACTCCAAGAGTGATCTGTATACTGATGAAGAATCTAATGAGCCGTGGTCTCAAGAAACACATGAAAAAACTTAATGTCATTGGTCAAAACCAGAGATCTAGCTTCCAAGTTTATGATGAGCACTTTGGATACCGCAGCAGATTAAAGGGCATGTTTGAAGACAACAACAGACTGCAGATGGTAGAAGCTCAGCGGCTAGCATGCAATATCATACAAGAATACCATCAGTTTGTGGAAGATAAATGTAGCTTACCTGCAGATTTCTCTGACAGCTATATTACAGAACTGTTAGAAAATGTTGAAACAGCTCTGAAACAAAAACCAGTGGACATCAGATCAGCTTATGAAGCAGATCTGAAAGTTTACCTCTGTGATGCTGCATGCAAAGACTTCCAAAAACTACATGACAGTTTTGTCAAAGACAGCCAGCTTTTGACATGTATTACTGCAAACAAGAGTATGTACCAGGCAGAGTTCTTCTACCAGTTCAGGAAGAGAGACCAGTGCCAAAGGATGGCTCAAGCATTTACCTCCATGGTCATCAAACCTACAGTGTTGGACTACATCTACAGACCACTGGGGTTACGTATTGTAGAAGAGATCCAGGGTAAAGCTCAGCAGTACCGGTCCCCACAGGCCTTCCACCAAAGCCTGCTGGAAGATCTGATAAAGGAGGACCGCTTTGAAGGCTTCCTGGAATATTTGCTTTCCTATGACATCTTCAGAATGAAGAAGGTCCAGGAGAAAGTGATGGCTCATCTCTCTGAATCAACCAACTTGGAGAAATGGAAGCAACAGCGACTTGGACAAATCGTAGGAAAGGTTGCAGCAGCAGTGAGCCAAACTGCAGAAGGTACCAATGGAGTGCTGAGTGATACAAAGCCACTGCTGGAGAGAGTGTGCCTCAATTTAGAGAAAGATGGAGATGTGGATGTCCCCAGGGCCTTTCTGGATGGACCGGTCTTCAGTATCACCACAGAATGGGATCGCTTTGTCACATGTGAAATGGAGGTACTGGCTGCAATGCGTTTGGACCTAGCCCAGGAGTTCACCCAAAAAGTGGAGATCACCCAATTTCTTCAATGCCTTCCCACACAGCCCCAAGACTCCATCTTCAACAGAGTGAGAGGGTGTGACCAGCGATGTCCTCTCTGCAGAGCCCCCTGTGACTTAGCAGAGATAGGGCATGAGGTTCACCAGGCAATGTTCCACAGGCCCAAAGGCATTTTGCGCTATGACCCAGTTTCTCTGTCCTGCATCGGCTGCCCCGAAAGCACGACTGAAGACCAGAGCGAAGACACGTACAACATGTCCGTGGCATGCAGTAGCCTCCACTCCCTCTACCCAGACTGGAGCATCTCCCCTGAGGACCCAAACAGCCAGTTGCCCAATACTTACTGGAGGTACTCTGTGGTTTATTAAGGCTTACATTGCATAATCTATTTGTTATGAATCAGTACATATATTTTTTATATGCACATGTTTCTGAAATTAGCTAAATATTCTTTCATTAACAGGTATGTGTTGGCAAGATTCAATGAGATGTTCGCAAACGCATATGACCAGGAGCCAGGAGAGATTCCTGAGGAGTGGAAGAAAATCACTGCGGAGGATGCACTGTGCAGTCTGAAGGAGGCCTTCCTCACTGGACAGTGCTGATAAAAGGACTGCGTTGTGCTGTATGCTAGCTTTATCAGAAATGAGACAATTTACTAATAAAGTTCAGGCTCTGTTTTATCCTGGTTATAAGATAAGGACGGTGATGATAATGGCAATATTAGACAGAAAGTCAATCAAAGGGACTGTCCATTCCAATCACAGATAATGATATAGTGATTTGTTTTTGGTTTTGCCTTTTCTTTTTTATCAGTTTTATCAGTTCCTTAATATGATAATGATGTTCTGTAAATTGTACTTTTAAATATATAAAGAAAACGCTGATTCCTTATGGTCTGATAATACAATCTATAAAATTGTAACTTATCATGCATTCAGAACCACCCAGTGACAAAACCCATGATATCATTTTTTTTAGACCTTTTAAGCTTTGTCATTTAAAAAGGAATATGAATGTATAGGATTTAGTGAAGGGCAACAATGTAAAATACTTCAGTTAATACATCAAGAAATGTTTTTTGTGTTTTTTTTTATCATACATTCAGCAGTGATTTACAGTATTTACTTGATCTGTGTTTTAAAATGACTAACCATATGTATATCCATAACTATTAGCCTTTTGTTTATAGGCAGCCATACCAGTTATAATAACCCATTTTAACTACAAAGATGTTACAATATTTTTGTGAAACATACACGATTTTAAAAGAATTAAATATAAGTATTAAAATAAAAAAAAGGAAGGTGCCTTGTAACGTATTCATTCATTCCTCTTTGCTTCCCTTGTACCTTGTACTAAAATTTGCTTCACATTTTACACCACAGCAGGTTGCAATAGGGTTTAGGCATTTTCCTTTCAAATGTTGTATATATTTTATTTAAATTTGCTGAGATCATTATAAAATTATAGGATCAAGTGTGGTCTCAAACAACAGTCTGAAATCATGTCTGTCCCACACATTCACAGACAGTATCTTTCACAACATCGCCATCAAACTTCCTTAAAGTATTTTATCTTGTGTGATAGCATCATGCAGAATTTTACAAATATTATATGCCTCAGCATCACTGTGTCACATCAATACACTAGCCACATAAAGGTTACACATTACAAATCCCCTTCTATGAGCACAGCCAGGATTCTCTACTACTTAGCATCAATGAAATGGAGAGGAATGAGTAAAGGGAAAAATCAAATGGTGAAATCCACAAGAGGGCAATGTGGGATGGAGGAATCCCTGGCAGCTCGAAGCTGAGTTGTACGAACAGAGTTTATTGGCCTGTTGCACCTCACTCTCTACTCTACTAATCCATCTGTTCATCTGTCCAGCTTTTCTATTTGTACAAATTAAACAGCTGATCTGTCACATGTACAGCAGCATAATAAATATACACAAGTGCATTTTATTCCTGATAAAACTGTCTCTTTTGGAAGATATCTATGTACAATAAGACAGTGACCGACAGTTACTAGACAGATCTCTTCAGACAGGTCATAGCCTGAGAGCAAAGGTCACCTCTAGTCTTTAGCTTGGATTCTGTACAACAACGTGACCACAAGGATCTCAGGCAGTATGTGGAGGCTTAAAAGCTCAATAGTACAGTAGGTGTTAGGCTCTGGGCAAGGTGACAAAGGGTAGTTTAAAATGTGTTCTTAAATGTGCAAGATGTGGCCCTATTTCCTTATTTTGGGAATGTACAGCCTGGCAGAGTTTTAAACAATCTACAGTGTTGCTAGGTCACTGTAGAGGACCTGGGATTCCCAAGCCCTGTTTCATAAGTAATTTTACATGCCTTCACATGAGGCACTGTATTTTATGCAAAAGGTCAGAGGATCTCTACATGCTACTTTATCTTGATGACACATTTGTTCCATATATTTAAAGCTGTGCAGTGGAGGTGTAAGAAAATAGAATAGAAATAGATTTGTTTTTTTGTTTTTTTTATAGGCAAATACCATTCATTTGCTGGATGTTACAGGGGCTGTAATAACTGCCTCTATTATTACTATTATGCATTGTCCAAACCCCATTCATGGTATCACACTATTGCCATAGCTAAATACTGCAGCCCAACATCCATGCAGTGGCATTATTACAGTCCTGCAGTAAATTCACAAACTCTAAAAGGCTAGAATGTTAAGTTTTTGTTGAAACTCTTAAGAGAAATGATGATTCAACTCATTTTTTTGGTGTCTGGATTGGCCATGGTTAGCTTACTGCATCAATGCAAAGCAATTCAGAGGGAAAAATATAGCAGACAAGCAGAAGCAAATTAGCAGCAGAGACTGACAGGGCAAACCTATCGGTTTGTTTGTTTTTAAAGTGGGTGATGGTTGTCGGTGAAGCAAATATCACCATGACACATCTTTATCTAGCCAGTAAATACTGATATTTATGCAATACTGGCAGCTCATTTGACTCATTTTATCGTTTTATTGCCTCAGACACACAGACAGACAGACGATGTACACACACACAAGCAGGGAGATAATGGAGGTGGCACTGAGGAGTACAAAGCAACTTAATTCCATCTAATCTGTAATTTGTTTGCACCGTGATGGTCTGCAGTAATGTGCACTGAGTATGAATCACCTCAAGAGAGATGACAAAGGGAATAAAAAAAAGGTTTTCATAATTGTACCATTTGCATTAATGATTTTGTACATTTATCACCACTCTGAATGGTTTACCAGTTAAAAGCTAAGGCTGTAAATCTTTTTAATGAGCAACATACATACTTTTTAAACCTTACAGACTAGGACTGTCAGGTCCTCCTCTCGAGCTCTGCTTGTGAGTGATACTGGATCCGTGCTGCCCTATTTGTCAATACTTCAAAAAGATTTAAGGCAGAGCTCTGAAGTACATTAGTCTGTCACTCTGACACTTCAAATTGGTTCAAAGGAGACATCAATATCAGGCCCAGTTTCTCTTAAGGTGTTCATAGCTCTGAAAAATGTTCACTCCCTGACTCTGTCATTAATAGCCAGCCAACAGCTGTCACCACATGCTGCCTGTGATACACAGCTTTAACCTTTTCAGTCTGGTGAGTGGGTGTGAACAGACTGATTACACAACAGTGTCTACCAACCTGAGAATAGTAAGATATAAGTACCTGCAAGTTCATTTTCAATCCAAACTGAAATGAATGGAAACCAATAGCTGCTCACAAGGTTAATAAAAAAAAAAAGATTAAAAACATGTTTTTTTCTGGAAGATCATCAGCAGCCATGTAAAGCATTCACAGACTGTATAGTACAAGGGCAAAACATATAGGTAACTCTTGTTTTATTCTGTTCAACATGATGAAATATTTTTAATTAGAAACAAATCAGTCTATAGGAAATACTGGTGAGTGAGTAGTTTCCACAAAGAGATTTTTAAAATTGATCTACTCCATCTATTCCAACTGTGACACTGCGTATGAGTCAAAAATGTGCCACCATCCAGAAAGGCACACATTTTAAAGGTCAGGACACTGTCAACACATCTGCAACGCCAGATTGTTTTAAACTGAAAAATGACAGAAAACTTGTGTGCCTGCTATGTCAGTGTTTCACGAGGCAGTAACAGCTCCTTTCAACCTGACAGATAGGATCGGGCAGTACTTTCAGCTGAGGCATTGTGTCCTGTAAATCAGAGATCTCCCAGCCAGCCGTTGACATACCAGACAAGAACAAACAGCAGCAAATAGTGCCTGTGCTAACAGATGCATTTGAAACCACAGTACTTCTCAAACACAATCTAACTATGCCTTGCTCATTATGTCTGACCGGTCATAGCTCATTCTGTCCCCAGCTGTGTGGCAATGAAATGAGCAGCAGGCAACAGCATCTACTTAAGCAGGTTCATACTTAGGGTTGATAAGCTATCAGGGGACATATAATGACAGGCAAACATTCCCATTTCACACAATCAACAACACTGGGGTATATGAGAGATTATCTGTGAAAATTGGCCAACAATTATTCACAAACGTGTTTATTTTAGTCACACTCGGGGAAATGTGTGCATCATAAAAGTTGGCAGGGTGGTTAATGTCCTTTTTTTTTCTTTTTCTGCTTGCCCAGTCAATCAAGAGGATCAGAACTGTACTTGCCAAAGGTCAATTTTTTTCAAACGGCGACCTCTGGGGCTGAAAAGTGAAGCCAACAGCGAAGTGCCAAAAACTGCAGTTCTTTGAATGGCCACATGGGGCTGGCTCCAGAAGCCTGTCATTCTCCACTGACCCTCATGTTAAAATGCCCAACTTTATAGCAGAAATAAAGATGTTTACAGCCTGGTACAAAGGCAGTTTTGGTCTCTGTGGTAAACTTCCCCCGCTATGACGACTGTACAAGGGGGTGAACTTTTAGATACCAACCCATTTACATTTTAATAAGGCTTTAAGTTAGACACAATTAAGTGCGGGCCACTTTGAGTGACAGGCTGTCTGCGGATAGTGTCCTCAGCTTCTTGGTCAGATCCACCCCTTGCTTCTTCATAGTGCCAAATATGGTCACTTCTGGCTCCAAAAATCCAAGATGGCAAAGGCTGTAGTGTTGAACTCGAGGCTTCAAAATGGGAGTCAAAACCAGTAGCCTACGTGACATCACATTAGTTACGTTCATTAATTTTAGTCTATGATTTTTATTTGAGAGTCTGGCCTGGGCCCTTTGCTGCATGTCATCCCCTCTGCCTTCCCTGCCTTTCCTGTACTTGATGCTCAGAGGAACTGACATAGTATAAAGAGCAAGAAAATCTGCGTAGGGTGGTAGGGAAGGCAGGGGAACGGGTCGAACAAATCCTTTACCCAGGAGACCAGTTTGTGTCCCATGTGAAACCAAAGGTCAGACTGACTTTTTAATGAAACGTTACACAATCTACGTACATTCATCATGAAGTGACGTAGCTCAAGTGACATAGACATACAGACAGTGACACGTCATGTAACATAACAAATGTACTTACATTAACCCAAAACATGATCTTTTTTACCACACCTAACCAAGTAGTTTTGTAGTTTTGTTGCTTAAAACTGAGCACGACTGTTTCAAAACATTAACCACATGTTGCAATGTGTTTCAGCTGTGCATCACATAGATCCACCAAAGGGTACCCTGTGTGACAAA